TTAGTAATAACAATGTTTTCTCTCTCTCTCTCTTCTCTCTCTCTCTCTCTCTCTCTCTCTCTCTCTCTCTCTCTCTCTTTCTCTGTGTGTGTTTGTGTGTGTGTGTGTGTGTGTGTGTAAACACAATATTCTAAAACATTTAGAATAAATTGTTTATTCATTTGCAATTCATGAATCAAATGCAATTCATGAATCAGTGACCATGTTTAGCTTTCTGCACCAAGTGAAATAAAATTGTGGCTACTTAAGAGTCGCCTTAAAAGCATTAAATTCTTTTTTTTTTCTGGCTCAGGAGGAAGTTTGAACAAACATTGGAGCCACTTTAACAGATAGTAGAAAAGGCTGAAATCATACATGTGAAGCATGACAATTAATCTGTCTTGTTCCATCAGAAAAGTCATCTCCAAAGACTGTGCAGAACCTCACAGCTGAATTCAAAGCAGTGCTTTGAGTTATAGGCAGGGATTCTTGCGGCAATTCCTTAAACCAAATCCATCTTTTCCTCGGAAATGCATCTCTTCCCAGATGCATCCAAATGATTCCTGCAGAATCAGTTTTTAAAAATGCTATAAACATATTTTCCCCATCCATTCAATTATATACAAAAACATTTATGATCAATTATCTCTCCTCTCTCTCCTATTTCTCAGTTCCAGTCATGCATTACTCATCCTTTTCCACATTGGAAGATGTCTTGTTTTTCCAGCATGCACTGACCCCATCAAACTTAGGACTTCCCAAGTAGAATCCCACCCACCCCTCACCCAAACTAGGGCAAGGCATTACTTCTTTGGTTTCCTTGGTGAGATGTCAATGGCAGGGCCTGGTGCCGGCATGTCCATCGGGAACATGTCCACCCATAACTCCAGCCGTCCCTGCAACATTGGAAAGACCCAGTTATTGGTTCCTGATGCCCCCAAGTTTAACTTCTTACCACTGGATTCCATTTTCAGGCTCCACTGCTTCTTTGTTTATCTTACCTATTATAAACCTCTCTTCATCCCAATATTTTATAAACATGCGATTAGCCAGGTGATTCATTTTGAATTAAAAACAGTGGGGCAGTTCTTTGAAGTACACAAGCTGAATTCAAAGGGAACATCCCTCCTTTATTGCTTTCTAGGTCCAGCAATTAGCATTCAGAGATACATTGTTTCAGAACATAGAAACTCTAATAAGTAATTCACTCACATTCTACCAATCTATTCAATCAACTGGTGGCTCATGGAACACATGTGTTCTTTCGGAGAAACTTGTTACCAGTAACCAAGTTCACACTCCTAATTCCCACCTTCTTGCCACTGAACAGTTGACATATTAGTACACTAATGAGCTAAACAGTGGACACTCCTTCTACCCAACTGATTAACACTGAGAAAATTGTTTCTTTAAACCAGGGGTGTCAAATTGGCAGCCCAAAGGCTGGATGCAACACACGCAGGCCACGCCCACCCCAGCTCCACAAATGGGGAAAACATTGTGAAATGTCACATGACAGCTGTGTGACACCACAACACCCATACTCTAAAGGGTTACTAAGCTCCTTTACTTCTCAGCATCAAAATGAAAAGAACAAGAAGGTATAGTAGCTGTGCCAAGAAGGACTGAAGACATTTCCAGCCTATAGAATGATGTCCTTTGTATCTCTAAGGAAAAAGCTACTAAGAACTATGCCATCCAAAAGGTGATAGTAGTGCACTTTAAGACAGCTCTGAAGTGAGTAACTTCAACTCCTATCCAAGCTTTGTATAAAGCTTCTCTAATGTGTTAGCTATGCAGGATGAAGAACTGTTCCCCTTTAAATCTAAAAGGACTGTACCCCTCCTCCTAGGTTCAGGCTTACAAGTCCTATGTTGGGATCAATTCCAAAACCCATGAAAGGAGACAGTTTTAATGGATCTGTTCCTAATATTGACTCAATACATTTCATTTACAAATGAAAAAGAAAGAAAGAAAGGACTCCTCTACAACCAGTGTGGACTTCTACTCAGAAAAGATTATAATGGTAAACTCTTTCCAAAGAGTTTTTAGAAACTCCCTTTAAATGATGAGCATCAGAACATCTTAGGCTTGTGTCAACAGTGAAGTGATCAGACTCACAGGCATTAAGAAATGTCATAAGTTTATGCCAAGAGGGTCTTCTTTAGTGCAATGCTTAGCCTTTACAAGAAAGAGTATAAGGCACAAACAGAAGTTATAGCAGAATGCAGATACAATTGATGTGCTAGGGCCAACAGAACAGTGTTTGTGGGGACAATAATATTGCTAAAGTACCTGCTCAATGCCTGGCTTGTCTGGGTTCAGCAATGGCCTTGTTTCCACATGCTCAGGCACTAATTTGCAGCCCACACGCGGGATTTCCTCCCAGTGGTGCAACACAGTCAGTGCCAGATGCTCATCTGTCTGCTTTTTCTGACCTGCAAGCATGGAGAAGACAGCAAAGACTCGGAGGCAATGAAAGAATGTAACCAAGGTTGGTCTTGTTATTTATTTATGCCTCCCTCATCCATATAGATGCTGGGCAAGGTACAAGTTCAAAAACCAAACCACCCCATGAAAGCCAAACACAATTAAATATACCACAATAAAGGATTATATTAGCAAAACTGTATTTGAATAATGGGGTTCAAGTAGAATGAAATTAATCCAAATTTTGGGTTAAGATTAATGGAAAGTTTTCACATGCATCTTCTGAAAATTAAATAAATTAGTGTAATGCTGCTGGTATATTGAATAACTTAATTTTATTTATTAATCCCCAGAGGAGAAAGAAGATAAAGTGAGTAACAGACAGTTGCCTGGATATCTCTTTCCTTCATACCTGAAACTACTGCATGGTCTCGCTCTCAATTTATCATTTCTCCAATAATTGTGGACATTTCCAAATCCATCTTTATAGCCACGAGAGGGAGGTTTTTGATTTTTGGAAGATAAACCTTTGATTCTCAGGATTCTGAATTCTATCTCTACTTCTAAAGTCAATATTTTTAGAGTATAATACCACAAGTTGGTTATAAAATAATACAAGGTTATGCTTCGTAAACTCATACATCATTGAAGTGCCTTGATTTTCAGCACTTACCATTTTCATCCTCTACTTCAGTGGTGCCGGTGAAGACTCGATTGGTCACCTTCACTCTGCCTCCAGGGCCATAGTGGGGACCATCAATTTTTCCTTCTTTACAAAGCTTGGATAGGATTTGGGTAGGCTTTTGGGGGTCTCTCCACATATTATATCCATGTCTGTGGAGAGAAAGGTTGTCAGATCAAGTCCTCAGGTCTGTAAATTTGTAAACCCACCTTTAACAGATGCTCTTTTGAAATCAGGATGCTATTTTAATAAGATTGTATTAATAAGTGGAAGCGTTATTTATGACCCTAGAAGTATTTTTTGATATAGCAATAGCAATAGCAGTAGCAGTTAGACTTATATACCGCTTCATAGGGCTTTCAGCCCTCTCTAAGCAGTTTACAGAGTCAGCATATCGCCCCCACAGTCTGGGTCCTCACCTCGGAAGGATGGAAGGCTGAGTCAACCCTGAGCCTGGTGAGATTTGAACCGCCGAACTGCCGAACTAGCAGTCAGCTGAAGTAGCCTGCAGTGCTGCATTTAACCACTGTGCCACCTCGGCTCTTATACAAATGAGACCAAGACCCAGTGGTGAAATTAATTTTTTTAAACTATTGGTTCTGTGGGTGTGGCTTGGTGGACGTGGTTTAGTGGGCGTTGCAAGGGAATGATGCTGCAAAATCTTACCATTCCCACTCCACTCTGAGGGCAGCCATGGGTGGCATTTGCTGGCTCTCCGAACTACTCAAAATTTTCGCTACTGGTTCTCAAGAACCTGTCAAAACCTGCTGGATTTCATCCCTGCCAAGACCTCATCTTAAACAGGTGTGCTATATCTGGATATTCTCGCTTGCATCTGAACACTACTTACCTCAGCTGACTACACATGATAGACAGAGGGGATACAGCTAATGCAGTGGTGGGTTGCTCCCGGTTTGGCTAAACCGATAGTAGTGGTGGCAGAAGAAGAATTGAACATCAGTGCGCCTGAACCGATAGTAAAAATATTTGCAACCCACCACTGACCTAATGCCTCCAACATGGAAAACAAGTGCTTTATCTGTTAAATTAGGCTATATGCATCAAAATCCTATTAGATTTTAGACAATTTTTTTCTGTCCCTTCTATCTATCATGAGCAGTCAGTGTTGGATTAATATGGCTAACAGTATGACTTGATGAAAAGAACTCCCTTTATTCCTAAAAATGTTATATGTTTGTTTCTTAAAATACTCAAACTCACATGGCAGTTGGAGCGATAAGATTTCCTAAGACTCAGGCGGGTTTGAAAGTCAGAGATGTGATTTATATCTTTCCAAAGAGTTAGGTATTTTCTTATTAAAAGGTAAATCTATAATTTGAATGAGAAAGGGCTGGCTTTTGGGAGTATCATTAGAACATTATTTTAACATTATGAACATTTTAAAATAATGAGAAGGTTAACAATTCTTACAGAGCATAGTTCCAAGAAATGCCACAGGTTGCTCTGTGCTTGCTGTAATATCGGTTCTCCAGATCTATCTTTGTTTCACCAATCAGATCATCTGAGCCCACCAAATCCCAATCATAAATAGCCACCGTCAACATGGATTCCATAGGGAATGTAGCCTCAATATCAAAGGATCTATATGGGAGGAAACAGGAACAACAGCAATTGGGATCAACTTTTCCATGAAATGGAGAGTCTTATGCAGAAACCTAAAAGACATCCTTTGGCTATTTTGAAGAAAATTTGTTCCTGAGTTATGTTTATGGCTAAAATGAGCAAAAAAAGTAGAACTAAAAACTGAAAACTAAAACTTGGAGAATTCAGGGCTGCACTAAAGTTAATTCATTAAACCCATGCCATTGCATATGTGATCCTGGTTTTCGTGGTAGCATCTTGGTTGCTGTTTTTTGTGTGTGCACAAATAACATCTAAATGCCTTAACTGGCTTCCATGTAATCCTGTAGTATTTAACACTCATTCTGGTTCACCAGGTTCACTCTTACTTTCCAAAGACTGGGTTCAGCTGTTTAGAGATGTAATTCTCCTTGTCTTTGATATCTGTCTTTCCCAGTTTGATGGCAACGTAAGGGTCAGCTTTGCCATTGATGTCAGCAGGATGCAAATCAGTAGCCTGGAAGGGAAGTTAATCAACAATCAAAAGAAAAAGACTTTTCAGTGGTGGTCCTGTAAGGCAGAACTCCCCAAAGTGAACAATGTCACCCCTCAAGGGTTGATGGTACTATCCATTACTGTTGTTATTATTTGTAGTATTTATTAAATAAGTACTTAATTATATTCATACAATAAATGTTTGTGGATCGACGAGCGGAAAAATGTGAGGAACCTAGGTGAAACTTTCTGGGAAAAGTACCTTTAGAGTCTAAGGGAATTTTTCCCAGAAAGTTTCACCTAGTAGGTCAGACCTGCATTTATATTCCTTTTAGAATTTTGGCCTGCCACACTTTCCCTTATTTCATTATGCTGTTTCTTTAAGTATAGTCAATGGGAGGGGGGATTAGAAAGAGTAGGATTTTGGAATGTATTGTTTTTCATTCTTTGCTAGAAGTCAAGGTCATCCTTTGTCTCCGCTTTCACACCTGACTGGAAGAAGCTGGGCATGGACGCCAGCATGGAAGAAGGAGATTGGGCCATGTGATGGATTGTGGGTGTGGGGACAAGATCATGAACTTTTAACTGGGTGGGATTCTGATGTAACTTCCAGAGTTGGGACCCCACGGCTATGTGCCAACATGCCTGCTTTATTAAATTGGAACTTTAAGCATAGTTTTGCCTTCGATTCTGATTTGATTCTACATGGTATTTGGAATGCTGACATAGTACTTTTAGTGTTATGAAAATACCATTTTTAGTCTCTCAAACATATTAAATTTAGTGTTTTCAAAACCTAATTGTTTTACTGCTATTTTTTATTGTGATGTTATGCTGTTTTCATTATTCATGATAATTGCTGCTCCTGCTTTTCATGTTACTGCTTTAATAATACATTTTCACTCCCTACACATCAGTTTGGTTTTGGGGTGATCTAGAAATTAAATCAAGTGTTAAGTAGACAAAGCAGTTCTGATAGGGACACAAGGAGTTCTTCTACCTCTTTGGCTAGTCAGTTTGAGGAAATATTTTGAGTTTCTCAAAAAGTATAGAAGTTAGGAGTCAGAGGCCTAGAAAAAGTGAGTGCTGGGAAAGGAAAATCCTTAGCAGTCAAACATACCAGACTTTAGGCACATCTGTTCTAGAACTGGAACTTCAAAATTTTGCCACAAACTCAGAATGTTCCTCTCTTTAGCTGACCAGCTAGCATATGAACCCCACTGAGAGAACAAACATGTGTATAGGGGCCAGCAAAATAGCATACAATTATTACAGTGGTGGGTTCTGGGCGGTACGGCCCCGTCGCAGCATACCAGTTGCGACGGGATCTGGAACCCACCACTGAATTATTACTCCTAATAGCATACATTTATTACTCCTAAGGTGAATAGCATTATCTGGGGCTCTTTTTCTTAATTTCCTTCTTCTGCTTACCAGCTCCCCACCCACCCCTAGCTTATAAAATCTGTTTCTAATTATTCAGGGGAGGGCATAGCAACAAATCATTATTCCTAAAATCTGGGGAATCAGTACTCAATAGCAAAGAGCAAACCAAGCCTTAGACTTTCTAGATAAAACATGGAAGTCCAAATCTCCAGAAGAGGAAAAGTTCAGTGCTCAGAGCTGGAATTGATATGAGAACAAAATGGCCTTGAAAGATGTATCTCACTTGTTCTCACCCTCACAATGTAGACCCGGACCAACACGTTGATGGGATCATTGTTTGGAATTCCTTGGAACATGCCAAAAGTAGGGTCATATCCAGCCTCCTTGGTGATATCATCAGGAAGAGGCACTTTATAAACACACAGGGATCCCTGGGAATGAGAAGACATAATTTTAGCCCAATTAAAAGTCCATCTAGGTTTTGGCAAAGAAGGCAAGAAGTTACTAAGTTCTCTTTCCCCATCTTCTGGCAACAGCACCAGGCCTGTAACACAACAGCACCAGTGTGTTCTGACACTTTAAACCTGAAACAATATAGTGGAATCAAAATTTTTTGTGGCTCTAATGGAATTACACCCCACTTGGGAATATTTTAAACTAAAAAAAGATAAAATGTAATAAATAAGTAATTTACAAAAACTGAACAATTTCCACAAGAGAGCTATATTTAAGTAGATATTATTTTTTCAGCTGTTGGAATGGTGACAAAATATTTACCTACTCAGCAAAGTTAGTGAAAAAAATTATTTCTTAGTGCTGAACTGGCATCATGACAATGAGTACATGGAGCATATTTTGTTCTTGCAAACTGCAAATGCTCTGATGCATGTGTGACTGATGGAGGTGCTGAGAATGATTAGAACAGTTCCAAGCAATTCTTTCATTGGCCCTTTTTCCCCTAGTGTAGACAAGAGAAACCACAATTTTCTCCACCCAAAGCAAATGCCAGAAGGGATGCACCATGTATATATCAGAGAAGAAATAACATTTGAAAGACTTGTTTTCTTCTTTAATTTGGATTAACATTCCTGATTTATCTGTCTTTTCACCCATTCCATTAATCTTGCTAAATCCCCATTTATTTTTCTTTTAAAACAAGAACACTTTAACTGAACACATTCTCTGTCCAAGTCAAAAGAGGAGTGAAATCAGATCCTTCCTTTGCCTCTCTGGCTAGCCATTTAGTCTACCCGGATGAGCAGAATTGGAATTAAGTAAGTGGAATTTCACACTCACTTTGAATCTTCCCACAATGCGATCTTCATCTGCAGAATTGTCATCATCATCTCCAATCTTCCCACGAAGGAGGTTAAAAGTATGCAGCCAGTCCTCAAAATTATCAAACTCTGTCTCCAGTTCTTTGGGATACACCTAAGATAGTATGGAGCAAATAACATAACTTGGGCCTTTGGCTATTATGATCACATATTTTGACTTATTCAGAAGCAACAGTACTTATTCGTCAAAATGAAGATATTTTGCTGATGCAGGAGGCATGATGCACAGGTATGTATCATGTCAGCTTCAAAATGTGGTCCTTGATCCTTTTTACTAAAAAAAATGTAAAACATCTGTAAGCATACAATAATATGCAAGAATGGAACCACCCAATTGATGAGATCTCTTTTCCCCATTTTTTTTCCCAGTTTTCTCGCCGGATTGAAAATCATAACTATTTTTATCATCATTTACGACATTGCAAAATATAATCGTTGCCACAAGTTTTATTTCGTTTCATTTCTCCCTTCCCCACGTTCTCATCATTGATGAACAGCACCAACACAATACAGAATTCCACTGTGATACTGCAGGGATGTGTATGTGTGTGTGTGGGTTGTTTTTGTGTGTGTGTGTGTGTGTGTGTGTTATTTTGTAGAAACACACGTCCTCGTAAACAAAATAAAAGAAGAATGAAGCAAAGAATGTGAAAAGCTTTTAAAATGAGGTCAGCATATTTAATCATTGCAGTAGAGGTACACTGACAATATTCAATTTGGTAGCCTTTAGATGAATTGATTATAATTGTTGTCATCTTCAACCAGCATGACCTGTCAGAACATCTGGAAAAGAAGCCTGAAAGGAAGTGAAGAAATGGATGAACAAAAGGAACTGCAACAAATTTTGTATATGATTGAAATCTCCCCAGAACTGAGATAGCTGGGAGGTTAGGTTGACATTCTTTTTCTTCAGAATTTCTGTCTGTGGAATGGTATATTTACTAGAAGACTCCTCTCTCTACCCAATGGCAGTTTTATCTCTCTTAAAATATCTTGTTCCAAGAGGAGATTCAAAGAAAAAAAATGTGTTGTCTCTTAGCCTGTCAAAACTAAGTATCCCAAGGAAATATTACATACTATTTTACTTTACTTTGCCATTTTAGGACAAGAATTAACTTGCTTGGTTTGATTATATTTTTATCCTTGTAAATGCTGTTGATGGTCCTTTGGAATGCAGTAATTCTAATAACACCAAGTCATGTACTGTTTTCATTTTAAGAACATGGCCATGTAATCTGGAATTCAAAAAGGTAGGCAGAGATATAAACAGCAAAGAGTAGTCCAGAGGTTCCCAATGTTGAATCACTGAATGATGCATGAAGAAAGTTTATGGTAAATTCCTTCTCCAGAGCCATTTAGCTCAGTGCTGGCTGCACTGACTCATAGCAAGTCTATAGGATTTCAGAAGAGGGTCTTTCTCAACTAATAAAGGAGAGTATTTGTAGCTCGGGGATGAAATGAAGGGTTCTTGATGCTCTCTGAGTTTGGTTATTTTCTTGCAGATGTTTCATTACTCAAAATTAGTAACATCATCAGTGCTAGTGACTAGCCATGTATGTCACTAGCACTGATGATGTTACCAATTTTGGATAATGAAACATCTGCAAGTAAACAACCAAGCACAGAGAGCACCAAGGACCTCTCTTTCTCAACTCTCTGGAGATGAAAAGAGATAAGATTTTCAATCCTTCAGAATGCACATGAGGGCTGGCCAGCCCTACAAGTGGAATATTATGGACATCTTAAAGCACTCCACTTTATACTTAATAACATTCTGCAAACCACATGACGTAAATTCTGACCCTGTTCCCTTTGGTGATGGTGTAGCATTACAGGCATGCTCTTTATAGAGCAAAGGGGCTATCAAAGGACCACTGATAAAGTCCATGATAAGAGCTGCCTATCCATTGTGCATGCAGTACTACATTTCGGCATGCTTAGAATAATGGGAAGTTTGCCTGCTAATTGTTAATTGTTTGGACTGGCAGTAATAGACACCGGATTTCATTTGGGAAACTGGCCTCTCCTAGAGCTAAATTCTGAACGATGCTTCATTTTGGATTCTTGTAGAGTTCCCCTTCATTTCAAAGGGACTTGACCAGGAAAAAAGGACTAAAAATAAAAAGCTAAAACATTACAATTGGATAAAACGCTTTTCATTTAATTGGGATTAGGAATGGGAACAGCTCACCTTCATCTCATCAATCTTCTGCTTGCTCTTCTTTTCAGGGGCATCAGGCTGTGGCTGCTGCTGTTTTTTCTTCTTGTCCTCTTTGGATAATTTGACTTTGTCTTTGGTCTTTCCTTGGGCTTTTGAGCCTTTCATAGGAGAGTCCTCAAGTCTCATTTCTGAGCTCCCAGAGAAGAGCAGCAGATACGGATGGCAAGAATAAGAAGTTTGTGGTAGGGAAGGCACGAGATAAAAAACAAAAATCAGACAATGGCATGCATGAAAGCTGACAGAAAGGTTAGCTAGTAAAAAGTAAAGTTTGCAATACTGATCTAGCTTCCAGCCCTGAAATAATCATGCAAGCAATCACCTTGTGCTGGTTATGAATATTCAGTGTATTCTTGGGGCCCTGTGGTTTCTTATTGGACAGACATTTCATTACCTGAACTGATATGTATCATAAATAATTGAGTTGAAGTGAATAGGTTTCAGAGGTAGAAAATGCAAGAATTAGAACGAAATCAAGAAAAGAGATCAAGGTGTTGGCATCATCAGCTGTTGCTCTACTTACACTCAACACGATTACCCCATGGCACTCTGTAACAAGTGACAATGGGGGGGGGGAGGGGGAAGAATAATCAGAAACCTGTGGCCTAGTAAACTAGATTGCTTCTCTTTACTGACCATACCTCAAAACAGGGGTGGGCTGCTACGGGTTCGTCCAGGTTTGGGAGAATAGCAATAGCAATAGCAGTTAGACTTATATACTGCTTCATAGGGCTTTCAGCCCTCTCTAAGCGGTTTACAGAGTCAGCATATTGCCCCCCA